GCGCTGCGCCCGCCAAGGTCAGCGGCCCGGGCCCGGGCGGGCGGACGGGACGTGTGCGCGCGTGCGTGTGTGCGCGTGCACGTGTGCACATACATGTATGTGCATGCATGTGCTTGTGTTTGCATGTATGTGTATGCACATATATGTGTACTTGTATGTGCGCACGTATCCATGTACTTGTGCGTGACACGTGTGTGTACATGCACATGCATTATTGTGTACATGTACTTGTGTTTGTGTGTGTGTGTGTGTTTCCAGAGCACCTGGGATACAGGGGAGGGGGTCAGGGTAGGTGCATGGTATCTGGGACAGAGGGATTGTGTGGCGCCACCTGTATATGTCCCATACCTAGGATGGAGTGTGTGTGTGTGTGCGCGCGCACATAACATCTGGGGCAGAGTGCACATGTGTACAATATCTCGGCTGAAGTGTGTGTGCATGCATGTCTCCGTAGCCTGTGGGACAGTGATTGTGTGCAGGTGTATAGTACCTAGGAGGGCATGTGTGTACACATAGCATCTGGGGCAGAGTTCACATTTGTGCATGTGTACGGTATCTGGAACGGAGCATGTATCTGTGGCATCTGAAACACTGCAGTCACGTGTGTGAACATACCATAGCTGCATGTTGGGATAGAACATGTGTGCATGCATGTGTATGTAGCATCTGGGACAGAGCACGCTTGTGTGCACATGTATGTATACAGTATCTGGGATGGGGCACGTGGGTATGTATGCAGTATCTGGAATGTAGCATGTGTACATGCATTTGTACATGGCATCTGGGACAGCAGTTGTGCGTGGGGACATGTTTGTAGCATCTGGAACAGCAATCACGTGAACATGTACAGTGTCAGGGATGGAGTGTGTGTGCATGCGTGTCTGCATAGCATCTAGGACAGAGCTTGCATGTGTGTGTGTGCATAGCATCTGGGGTGGAGCGTGTGTGTGTGTGTGTAGTATCCGGGATGGGGAGCATGTGCTCATGGGTACATGTATCTGGGATGGAGCATGTATGTGTGTATATAGTATCTGAGATAGAGCATGTGTGCATCTGGGACAGAACAATTGGGTGTGTACACGTGTACATACAGTGTGCATGTATGTACAGTATCTGGGATGGAGCATGCATGTGTATGTATACAGTATCTGGGATGAAGCGTGTGTACATGGCATCTGTAACAGCAATATTGTGTATGTACATGTACAGGATCTGAGATGGAGCATGTGCATATACGTAGCATGTGGGACAGAGCGATTGCCTGTGTGCAGGTATACAGTACCTAGGATGGAGCCCATGCACATGTATGTATATGTAGTATCTGGCACAGAGTGCACATGTTCATGTGTATGCGTATAGTATCTGGGAGGGACAAGAACAAGGTCTGGTTCAGAGGCAGCAGCTTAAATACAGTTATTGTAAAGGGTCACAACTCGCAATCTACATGTGGTAGAAGTAGAGGCTTATTTTAGTTTTAAGTATGGCATCTATTTCTCATTAAAAACATTTAAATAAGCAATCCTATAGCGTGGAATGTCACTGCTACGTAATAGGGAGGCCAAGAGTTAAAGCACATCAAGAGGTAGATACGTAAATGAATAGTAACACTGACCAGAATATAATTTTTAAAAATGCGCATAAAGGTTTATGCCTAAAAGCACAAAGGAACACCCCTTCCAATGCTAAATTTAGAAAGAAACTTCCGCCCTGGGTAAATCTGAAACATTCAGTGGTGTCAAAAGCAAAAATTACTCCAAAGATGAGCTTTTACTCGCCCTATCCCTGGATAGGATCTCGAACTCTCTCTTATCATCCCAACCTTTTCTGTATAGAGGACACGTCTGTATGCTCAGCAACTGTATAGTTAATTCAGGATAGTA